TGTATTCTGCGAGCCTAGCAAAACTCGCCTGCAAGCCCGAGCGAGTCGCCAACATGCTCTACTCACAATACGAGCCAAACATCTCTTGTTTATTGAGCTCGCCCGTAGAGCTTAGCTTCTCCTGTTTGTTGAGCTCGCTCGTAGAGTTCGACCCCGCCTACTTGTTGAGATCGCCCGTAGAGCTCAACCTCTCCTGTTTGTTGAGCTCGCCCATAGAGTTCAACCCCGCCTGCTTGTTGAGCTCGCCGTAGAGCTCAACCTCGCCTGTTTGTTGAGCTCGCCCGTAGAGCTCAACTTCGTCCCCTTATTGAGCTCGCCTGTAGAGCTTAACCTCGACTGTCTGTTGAGCTCGCCCATAGAGCTTAATCTCGTCTTCCTATCGAGCTTGCCCGCAGAGCTCAATCTCTCCTGTTTATTGAGCTCGCCCGTAGAGCTCAACCACTCCCAATTGGTAAGTTCGCTCGTAGAACTCAACCTCTCCTTGTACTATTGAGCACGCACGTAGAGCTCGATCCCGCCTGTTTATTGAGCTCACCCGCAGAGCTCAAGCATCGCAGGTTGGCTTGACTCGCCCGCATTAATCAAGCTCGTCAAAACATTCTACTCGCCAGTACGAGTTTAACCTCGCCTGAATGCTTCACTCGCCCGCACGAGCCAAGCATGCCTGCAGTGAGTTCGCCCGCACGAACTCCGCTAGCCAACAAACGCCAGCTCACACGTTGGAGGGGTCCACCAGCTGACCCCGCCTGTTTGCCAAGCTCGCCTGCAAGCTCGCCTGAGAATTCAGATAGCTCGCGAGCTCGCCCGTAGCTTTTACAGCCTCGCCTGAGCAATGTAAACGAGCTACTTGCTTGTGGGAGTGGGCCTACCCACTTTCCACATCCTGGGTGATGATGAGGCATGGCTCTTGTCATCACCATAGTGGTCACATCCCACAACTAGGAGAAGGCATGATGTCCCTCACCCATTGGTGGTCATATTCCACAAATCAAGGGATGGCCCATGTCATCCCTTGCCTATTTAAAGACATCTTCATCCAACGTGAAGGGAGGCTAGAGATTTTCATACTCAAGGCTCTTCAATCAGAGACTGAGGTTGGTGGTTGATTGGTTGGGACTTGGCATTGCTATTAACAAGGTTCTTCAATCAAAGACTTATTTTGGGGATCACTTGCTTGGTAGAACATTCCTAACTCCTTGCTTGGATTGTTGAAATAGACTCAATCTGAACCCTCAGATTTGAGGCTCATCAGCTCTCTACAAACTCTTGCATTGTAGCTCTCTCCAAGCTCGCGGCTTTGATATTTTTCAAGCTCGGGTACAGTCGAACTCAATCGCTCCGGAGCCTCTACTGCGCACTGAGTCTCCAACCGTAACTTCGATCGGATCATCCAAGGAAAGCAAACTCGATGCGAGCACCGAGGGAGGTGTCCTACCGCTACCAACGAACCCACGTTAAATAAGGAGGGTCATTCCCTTCTCCTCTGTTGTAAACATTGATTGTAGTTTGTAATAAGCCATTCTTATAAATACAAACGACCCTCGAGCCAGGAAGTCAATTTTTACGCCAAACACTTACAAATCAGGAATGCAGCTCGAATATGATATTTCTCATATCTGTATCCTCTTACCTAATCATGGATATAGATACAGATATGCATTGGTAAGAAATATAGTGCACATGTGTGCCTCGGATATGATACTTATCATATCCGCTTACCAATCACGAATACTATACTCATCATATTCGTATCTATATCCGCTAGATTGGGTACGCACATGAATATGTGCGTGGCTNAATCACTGGCTTGATCGTCGGGGGAACCATCGAGGAACCCAACTCTTCCCTCTTACGATTTACTAATTGTGCAGGGAAGAACAGCCTACTCCAGAACCAGACATTCGGAGTGTTAGAGAACCTTTGTCAACTTAATTGCTTCTTTCATTGATTGTTTGATATTAGCCATCAACAAGAATGAATTTCTTATAATTTTAAGTCCTAAATACATGGCTAGAGTTTCCTAAATTGCAAAATGCATGAAGCAGTAGTTATGAACCCCAATTACACCAGACATTGATTTTACAGTTTACTACCCCCTCTTCGTTAAGTCGCAGGGGTAAAAGATCCTTAAAAGAGTTTTGAGATATTTTATTGGACAAACTTACAATTCAAGATATCAAATGTTTAAAGTTAGGGGGTGTTTGGTTCATTTTCTAGAAACCTAAGTTTGGGAGATTACTCATAGGAGATAGGTTGTGGGATCCTTTTTCATGTTTTAAAGCTCATTTCATGACTTTTTGTGATGAAATGGATTTACTTTAATTTGGGACCCATGACAACTATTATCTTTCTAATGGGTGGGTCTCACATAGACAACATCTTTTTTCTCTCTCTCAACCAAACACAAGAAAGGTAAATCTAATACCTCCGCATGGGTGTGTCGGGTGTTTTGATTTCCTTTTCTCAGTTTCTCAGCCAACCAAACAGCCCCTTAGTGAAACTTGAGAGCATTAATCCTTGAGAGGCGCTACAGTCACACCTTAAAAAAATCCACGTGGGCCCCAGTGCACTGTAACGAGAGAGGAGTGTGGTTAGGGGTGTGATTTAAGGAGATGTCTCTAGCATTTTTCCTTAATCCTTTTCATAATCCTCCATATTCATATCTTTTATTTAATTCAGCGGGCTGAAACCATTTTGCCGGTTTTTCCTGCAAACATCTCGCCCTCTCAATAATTGCATTGTTGAATATTAAATTGATAAGAAGCTCGCCGCTGCCACGCACCTACAAATGTCTCATATGAATTCACATGAACATTATATTACTACGGCATCTTCACCATTCCCTTTCAACCTCCCCTCCAAAATTCCATCCAATCCCAGCTTTCCTAAAAGTTACCCATCAATCGCTACTCCCCCAAAAACAAATTACCATAAAACCCTCCCAAGCCCTCAAATTCTTTTTATTGACCTCCCACCTTCACCTTCACCTCCACCTCCGCCTCCACTTCAGTGAAAAGTTCATCAACCCATCTCTCAAATTCCTCACGGTAGAGGAGAGCCCGTCGTCGTCATCATTGTAATCATCGCATGACATCAAACCAAGACACCTCACCATCATCATCTTCATCCTCCTCCTCATCGTCAGCGATGATGACCCACTTGAGCCAAGACCAAATCTTCAGCATCCTCCATCTCCTCCCCGTTGAATCCATCCTCTCCTTCTCCATGACCTGCAAAAAGTTCAGATCTTTGGCCTCCTCTGGCTCCCTCTGGGAGCTCATCTGCAGGAGAGACTGGGGACCCACATCGGTGGATGGCTTCTTATCCTCCTTATCTCCCCAGGAGAGGAGGATGGTCTCTTGGAAGAAGCTATACAAAGAGATTTCCGAAGTGGGTTCTCTCTCTTGTCGACGATTGGTGATTAAAGATGGAATCTTTCCAACTCCCAGAGCCTCTCACTCCCTCAATTTTGTCTCCGATTGCCTCGTGCTCTTTGGTGGAGGATGTGAAGGAGGTTAGATTTGCTTACTGATTCAATTGATACCGTTTGGTACTATATTCTTTCAGTAGTTCTGTAGATTTTTACATCTATTTCCCCCAGCAAAGATGCATATTAAATGGCATACATTCAACTAATCAAGTACAGGAGTGTGCTCGGAACAAGGCCTGTTGTGTTGGCGCACAGTTTCATCTTATTCTTCGAAACAGTGGAGAAATCTTATATTCGCGTTGCATGTCCAAGATTCTAAAATTCCCCATCTTAGTTGGTGAAAAACCGTAACAACGTAAAAAAGAAAGAAAACCGAGCTTGTTCGTAGAATTCTAGAAACTGTACCCGTGTTAATGGAAGATTTGTTAGAATTGTAACTTAAAACTTGGGAAAGTTTGGTCCCAAATTGGATCTCTAAGAGTAGACGTCTCAACCAACGAGACGATAACTCCTAGTCGACACGAAAGGCGGTGTTAGTCGACACGAACGAACGAACGAGACGACAGGACGAGTCGACACCCTCTGGTCGACACGAAAGTCGGTATGAGTCGACACCTCGAGGGTTCGGACTCGGTGTCGGGTCAGTTCGGAAGGCGCTCGCACTCTCGACCCTTAACCTGCTACACTTTGAATTGTTATTATCAAAACGTGAATAACATTGAACTAAGCATTAATGGGCGAGACCGGTAGATCTGGAGGGCGAGATTGACGGACATGACAATTGGAAAACGGTTAGGATTAAAACGTATTAATTGCCGCGGGATTTATGGACTTAAATAGCTAGCTAAATGAAAGGAAAACGGTCAGCATATTTAATATATTTAGTGAGGCGTGAATGATGGATCTAAAAGGCATGAATAGTAGATCTACAGCTGCCGGCCTTAAACCCTATTAAAGAACCTACAGCCACAAGAGTTTAGATATAGTGAAAAATACAACTCTTCTTGAAAAAACAGAACAATTCCTCTCTTCTCCTCTTTTCTTTTTGAATTATAACTTTCTACTGTTACTCTTTCGCTGATTCCCTAAAAGTCGAGAAGAGTTCGCAAAGCCTTCTTGAAGCTCGTGCCGACGAGAATGAGGTTGCCTGACCGAGGATCGTCGTATCTCCAAGATCCATTGCCACGAAGCCCTGTACAATAGGGGACAATTAGATTTTTGGGACAGTGCTTAGTGCACGCTTTGATCATCAGGCCTTATTTCTAAACTTAATTTATTTTCTTTTGAATCAATTTTATTTTAGAGTTATAATATTGTTCGGCTATTATCTGATTTTTATCAACTGTTTAAAATCTGATTTTATTATTAAATTCAGTCTAAACAACACCTATTTTTCAACAATCCAAGAATCTAATTGTACTGTTTAGAATAAAATCATGTTGAATATTCTATTTTGTATTATGTTTCTTATGATAATGCTGTTTACATGTCATAAAACCGACTTGTTGTACTACTTGATGTTTTTGTTGATGGAGTGCCTAAATTATGTATGCTGCATCATAATGACAAAATTATTTATTTATCATCAGATCATGGCTACAAGTAAAATCTTGTCGGTCAAACCAGAGAGTTTGATGGGAATAATTTTTGTCGTTGGCAAAATCAAATGAGATTTTGGTTAACAATTCTAAATCTAATAACTGCAATTGAACCCGACAACTCATCTTCATCTAGACCAATCACTAGGTAATCTTCCTCCACGGATTCCATTCCTATTCCGAGAACACCTCAAGAGATAGAATATTATTGCCTTCACAGAATCTTAGGAGTCTTATCTGATAGATTATATGACATATATTATTCTATCACTAATCCTAAAGTTTTGTGGGAAACACTAGAGAAAAAGTATGGTTTAGATGATACGGGAATTAAAAGATTTAAAGCCTCTGATTTTAACAAATTTAAAATGATAGATTCTAAATCAATGAATGAGCAGATTCATGTATTCGAACATATAGTCCATCAACTGAAAATGAATGGATCTATCTTAGATGAAACGTTTCAGATAGCCTGTCTTATAGACAAACTTCCCGAGTCCTGATCAGATTTTGCCAAAAACCTTAACCATACCTAAGGAGATCTTACCATTGAACAAGTGTTGAATGTCATTAGAATCGAAGAGCAACATAGACTCAGGGAGAAAAATGTGACAAAATCTAAACCCAAAAAATCGAAAGTAAACAATGTTGAATCCAAACACTTTCCCAAACACAAGAAACGTCCATTCCACCAAAATCAAAATAAAACATTTAAGAAGAATTTCTTTCATCAAAATAAGAACTTTGTCCACTTTCAAAAGAAGGATCTGAACGTCGAGCTTGTTTTGTTTGTGGACGAACCAACCATCTTGCTAAGGACTGTTTTTACAAAAAGACAGAACCACACAAGTTTAGGAAGGGAGGACCTCCATCTAATAAGTCACAAGTAAACATAGTGATTTTCAGTTTAGCTGAGACTGCTTTCAGGTCTGTTCTCTTCACCCCTGAAGTAAACATGACATTTCAAGCAAATGATTGGAGCTGAGACTGCTTTCAGGTCTGTTCTCTTCACCCCTGAAGTAAACATGACATTTCAAGCAAATGATTGGTGGATTGACACTGGAGCTAATATTACCCCTGAAGTAAACATGACATTTCAAGCAAATGATTGGTGGATTGACACTGGAGCTAATATTCACGTTTGCTCTAATCAATCTCTGTTTTTTTACTTATCAGGTCTTAAGTAGAGGAACTGTGACAATATGAAATAATAATGTGGCTCCTGTATCTGTAATAGGTCGAATCAACCTAAAACTGACTTCGAATAAGATTTTGATTCTGCAAGATGTTCACCATATACCAGACATTAGAAGAAACTTAATTAGCGGATCCTTGTTAGTGCAACAAGGCTACAAACTTGTTTTTAAATCAAATAAAATTGTAATAACTAAGGAATTGAATTTTATTGGAAAATGATTTCTATGTGATGGTCTTTTTAAATTGAATGTTAAGAATTTTACTCCTGCATCTCCAATGGCTTTGAATATTGAACCTTGTATTACTTGGCATCAAAGATTAGGACATGTCAATTATAATTCAATTAAAAGATTGATGCATCTCAATATAATTCCAAAGCTTAATATAAAAGATAAAAAATATGAAATATGTGTAAAACCTAGAGTTCCTAAGAAACCCTTCAAAACTATTGATAGAGATTCTGAGATATTAGAACTCATTCATAGTGATGTCTGTGATTCTGGAAGAACATTTATAGGAGATAACAAATATTTCGTAACTTTTATAGACGACTGTTCTAAATATTGTTATCTCTACTTAATTAAAACCAAAGATGAAGTGATAAACAAATTCAAAATATATAAAGCAGAAGTTAAAAATCAATTAGATAGAAAAAATAAAATACTAAGATCAGATAGAGATGGTGAGTACACTTCTAATGAACTAAAACAATTATGTGAAGAGAATGGAATCATTCATGAAATAACTGTTTCATATACACCTCAATCTAATGGAGTAGCTGAGAGAAAGAATAGAACACTAATGGACATGGTAAACTCGCTGAGAGAAAGAATAGAACACTAATGGACATGGTAAACTCAATGTTAATTAATTCTGGTGTGCCAGAGAATCTGTGGGGAGGTAAACTCAATGTTAATTAATTCTGGTGTGCCAGAGAATCTGTGGGGAGAAGCTCTCATGACTGCTTGCTATATACTAATAGAACTCCATTCAAGAATTCGGATAAAACCCCTTACACAATTTGGAGGAATAGAAACCCTAATTTAGATCACCTGAAAGTGTGGGGGTATTTAGCAAAAGTTAAGATACCTGAAAATAAGGGAAAGAAGATTGGCCCTAAAACTGTAGATGAAATCTTTATTGGATATGCTTCTGATAATAATACAAATAGATTTTTAATAATCAACTCTGACATTAATGAGATAGTCAACAACACCATTATTAAAGCTAGGGATGCACATTACTTTGAAAATATTTTTTCTTACAAAACCAAAGTAAGCAACACAGACCCTAACTCTAGCAACTCAAATCCTAGTTCTAATCCTGTTTCTAACCAAGGTGAAGCAAGTTCTAGAGAAATCAGACCACTAGAAAATCCAGAGGAATCTAGGAGAAGTAAGAACTAGAATAGAAAAAGTCCATGAAGACTTATATGCATTACTTGTAGAAGATTCTCCAATTATATTTAAAGATGCAATGAAATCAGTAGATGCTCCGTTTTGAAAGGAAGCTATAAATAATGAGATTCAATCTATAGTTCAAAACCATACTTGGGAACTCACTGATCTTCCTGCATGATGCAAAACTATAGGATGTAAATGGGTATTTAAGAAGAAACGCAAACCTGATGGAACAATAGATAAGTATAAAGCCAGACTAGTAGCTAAAGGATATACTCAAAAATCTGGTATTGATTATTTTGATGTCTACTCTCCAATAGCTAGGATTACTACCATTAGAGTTCTTATAGCTCTAGCATCCATTCGCAAACTAATAATACATCAAAAGGATGTTAAAACTACACTTTTAAATGAAGACTTAGATGAAGAAATTTATATGGATCGACTCGAGGGATTTGTTGCTTCTGGACAAGAGAAGAAAGTATTTATTAGATCATTATATGGTCTCAAACAAGCTCCAAAGCAATGACACATGAAATTTGATGAAATTATACTATCTTATGGATTTGTAATTAATCAAACAGATGAGTGTGTATATCATAAAATAGATAATAACAACAAAATAGTGATATTATGCTTATATGTTGATGATATTCTTATTTTTGGTTCTGACATACAAACCATAAATGATATCAAATACTTTTTATCATAAAATTTTGACATGAAAGATTTAGATCAAGCTGACCTAATTTTTAACACTAAAATCTTGAAGAATGAGAATGGATATGTGCTGTCACAATCACACTACATAGAAAAAAAATCCTCAAGAACTTTTATGATTCAAACTATCAACTTGTTTCTACTCCATATGATCCTAATGTGCATCTAA